CCCAGCACCGGCTCTGCTGGTTCCCACCCCACGGGATGGGATGGGATGGGAAAGGTGTGAGCAATCACGGTTTGCTGCTCCTGCCCATGGCCCTGCGAGGGCTCACCCACTGCCGGGGGGCACGGCAGGGCTGACCAGCCCCAGCAATCGGGGTTCCTGCTGTGTCCCCGCTGCCGGCCCCATCCCAGGTGTGCCGCCTCTCCCCAGGGCAGCGATTGCCTCACCTGGCGTTGCTAAGATCCGGCCAGAGCACTGCAGAGCCACGGAGAGGATTGGGAAGGGCTGGATTGTTGGAGCTCAGGGAGTGGGGGCCCTCCCAGGGCTTCTCTGTGCTGCTTCCCAGCTGCTCCGAGCATCCTCCTGCTGCAGCCGGCAGAGAAACACTGCCCCGTGCAGGAACCGGCCACATGGTCCAGGCAGGGCTCACAGCCCCTCGGGCAGGAGGATGGAGCTGGATCCAGAGATCCCAGCACGGACCAGCTCCTTTTTGTCCACCCTGAGCTCCAGCACAGCCTCTCCCCGCAGGAAGACAGGAGGAACTGGAACCTGCAGCACCCTGCTGCTCCCACAGCCTGGATTTACCCATTTCAGACCCATAAAAAAGGCACTTATCAGCCGGGTATTCAAACAATGGTGTGAAGACACTTGAAATTTAAATAAAACCTCTTGTTTTACTTCCCTCTGGGAGGTTCCTTGCCACTGGCATCAGCCTCGGTATGTCCAGAGCAGTCTAAACTTAGCTGACACAGGCGAGACCAGCCTGGAAAGGAGGTTGGCTCCGACCCAGCAGACGGAGGTCAAAGACTCCAGTCTCGCCCCGGAGCATGAGCCGGGAAGGAAAAGGCTCCACGGGAATGCAGAGCTGAGCAGAGCAGGCAGGGAACAGCCCCAGCCCCTTCCAGAGGCTGCTGAGAGCAGATCAAAGCCTTCCGGCACAGCCCCGCTCACATCCCGGTGCCATCCCGGGTGAGGCCAGCGAGGCTCAGCCACCCCCTGCCCTGCCAGGGGATCTTCTCACACACGTGGGAAGGAGGAGAAGCAGCCAAGAGCTGCAGGAGCTGCAAGAGCAGGGCTCAGCCACGGTTCTGGGTCACCAGCAGGGCACCAGGGCAATGCCAGCCGTGGATCCACCGATCCCAGGGAGGCTGGCGGGATGGGGGCGGCACACACGGCCTGGCAATGCCAGCCTGGGGGGCACCTCTGGGCCTGGCATGGGGGTGGCTCCACGCAGAGAGCCAGCCAGGCCAGGTGGATGCTGTCACCTGCAACAGGGGTGGATCCTGTCACCTGCAACACCACCAGCCCCGTTGTTTCCCCGCTGGCCAAAACAAAACAGCTCCTGCACCCAGTGCTGGGGCTCCACCTCACACACCCAGGGCTGCCCCACCTTCCTGACCCCCCTTTTGCCTCTGGTTCCCTCCCCCCGTGCCAGAGAAGCCACTGACTCCCCTACAAACCTCCCCAAAATCAGGGTTATTCACCCAATGATGGAAAATCCCTTGGCTTCCAGCCCAGCTTCCCCCCCAACACTTCTCCAGCCAGGGACTCTCCACTGCAAAAGTGGAACTTGGCCAGCCCTGCTCCCGAGGGATGAAGAGGAAGAAGGGCTTCCTCTCGCCCAGTGAGGAGTCACCACCACACCACCAGCCCCAGCAGTGATCTCAGAGGCCACAGAGGCCTCGTGCAGCCCACTCAGGAGTGATGTTTGTCCTCGTGGGATGGATCTCCCGGCAATCTCTTGCATCAGGAGGTGGCTGCACGCTGGGAGAGCTGCTTGGCTCAAGGAACAAGGCACCTCCGAGTCCTCAGACACCTCCAGGTGCATTTGTTGTGGCACAACACCAGCCACAAGTGGGAAAAAACACGGTTCTTCAGAGATGGGCATGGCCAGGAACGCCACCCACCACCAGCAAGGCTCCAGTCCCAACTGGAATCAATCCTGGTTGATTTATACAAGGGTCCCACAGCTCTCCCACCACCCCAGGGTCTCCTCCAGTCCTTGGGAGGTTGTTCCCTCCCTAACTGAAGGCCGTGTACTCAATCAAGGTGACAAACCACCCTGTACTGTCCCAGTCCAAACAAGCCAGGCCACGTGCTGGGCACCACGGAGCAGCCAGAGACAGCACCGGGAGCGGGGAAAAGCTTTTGAGGTGCCGCAGCCCCAGGTTTTCTACCCCCAATCCCCAAAAAAACCCCAGTTAATTACGAGAAAGAAAGGATTTCAGCAGGATTGATTAGTTAATGTTTACAGCAGGGGAAGCATGACCTGTGTTCTGAGCTTGGCAGAGATGTCGGCACCCTTGAGCTGCCAGGGGCTGCTCAGCAGTGATTTCCACACCTGGCTCCTGATTTTCCAGGTGAGGGTCAGCACTCCCAAAACACAACAGGAGGCTGCCATGGGGAATGGAGAGGGGCCTCAGCTGCTGGGGCTTGCTCAGGGTGACAGAGAGGTGTCCAAAAAGCTCCACCACCAGCGTCACCCCCCGCGCCGATTCCATCATTCCCACCAGGATCCGCAGCAGATCCTGGCACGTGCCAGGGATGAGGCAAGAGGGGCTGGATCCCCACAGGGAGCTGGCCTGCTGGCATCCAGTGGTGCCACATGGGTGAAGGTGGTGGCACTGGGGACCTCCCAGCTGCAGGTGTGGGGTTTTCTCCAGACGGGACAACCCCAAGGATGGCGCGGCTGAAGGAAGCGACAGCAACGAAACGCTGAGACATCCCCAGAGTCACCACCCCCAAAACGGCCACTTTTAGCCCCATGCTCTGGTTGCAGCCACCCCCTCGGAAGCAGGGCACAGCAGGTGGGTGTCCCTGCAGTGCTGATGGCAATGTCCTCCCCCAGGGGATCGGGAGCATCCCCGAGCCCTGGCGCCGCAGCGCTGCGGCAGCTCCCGCACCCCACTGCCGAGGGTGGGTGTTCTTAGAAAGAAAGGAATCACGGGGATCTGCCAGCTGCTTCACTCCTGCTCACCAGGGAAATTCAGGACTCACAGCCCGCTCTGGGATCCTCCCCGTGCTGCTGCTCTGCTTCTCTCCGAACCTGTCCCAGCTCGCTCGACAGCAGAGGCCTCGCTGCTCAAATTGGGGTGTTTGAGGGTATTTAGTGGTGCTGGCTAAGAGAAATGCATTTGCAATCCTGGCCCTGGCAGTGCCAAGTGTCCTCCTTGCCCTTCTTGCCGCCGGTGCCAGGTGCTGGATGTGGCAGGTCCGGGGTGGCCGCCACAAGAGCACCTCAGGTCTCCCCGCTCAGCAGCCACATTTCAGTGAAAACTCCATTTTTGCAGGATTAAGAGGGGGAGGGGATGAGCCAGTGGAAAACTTGTTCTGGACAGGAAAGACCAAACGGTTTGCAGGAGCTGCAGTGGGGAATGACAGGGAAGAGACAACATATCCACCAACTCAAACCCAAACAACCCAAACTGGGGCTCCCACTCAGCCCTTGCAGCGCTGGTGGGATGCCCCAGGAGGGGTGGGGAGCTGGGAAAGGGTCAAAAGCAAAGAAAAGCTTTTATGGAGTATAAACACTCATTTCCCCTACACCACAAACAAGCTCTGACAACACCCAGCAGGGTATTTCCAAGTTATCCAGCTTTCTACCATATCCCAGTGCAAAAATCAGGAATTCCCTAGAAAAACTCCTTCCCACAAGAACCCAACCGCTCATGGAAGGCACCAACAGCCAGAGCAGGGAGCGGGCAAGGGGAGCCCAGGTGCCAGAGGTGCTCCAGCTGGACCAAGTGCATTACAGGCCCTGGAATTTCCATTTTTTTTTCTGGAACAAAGCAAACCCGATGCAAACGGCAGCTCCTTCCACGCCAGCGTCTCCACGCTGAACCCAACTACATCAAAGCATCTTTTGATTAATAAAAAAGTTTGTCAAGTACTTGGACAAGCCCAAGTCACGTTTCCAGTGCCTTTTCCAAGGCACCCGAGGAGGTTTCATTCCCTGCTCCCTGCAGAGGCTGCACGTCTCTCCCACCTCGGGCATGTCTGAGTGGCACCCCCTGAACCAGGGAGCCAGGGAATCCATTATTCCCCTTTTTCCGCAGGAAAAAAAAGAGGAAAAGGAAACAGGCACTGGCTCCTCTCAGCCCGGCCATCCGCATTTTAAAGAGACTTGGCTGCTAAACTCATAAACCGGAGCACTGGGAGCCCTGTGGGGCTGGAATCTGGGCTCCAGGACAAGCTGAGCGCTGCAGCAGGGAGGAGGAGGAGGAGGAGGGAAAACAAAATAATAATAACAAGCAAAAGAATGGGAACGCACACACAGCTGCCGGGGACGAGCCGCTGCCATCAAAACTGCACACTCACTGCCGGTACCGGCACCGGCAGCACCTGGGGCCCGCATCCCCGGCCGCGGGGGGGACCGCGGGGACACCGAGGGGTCCCCACATCCCCGGTGGCACCGCGGGTGAGGGCGCGGGGATGAAGGATGCTGCGCTGCTCGGGGCGCCCGGCTGGGATGCTGGAAGGGACACGGGGACCCCAAAACTCTGCGAAAGGCGCCGAGGGGAGGTGGCGGGGATCACGGAGGACTCGGAGCGCCCCCGGACACCCCACGCTGGCGACAGCAGTGTCGCTCATCCCTTGGGCACCCCACGCAGGGATGCTGAGCCCGCGGGCAGCCCACGCAGGAGCGGCGGCACCCAGGAAGCCCACGCGGGGATGGAGCTCCCGCACGGAGCCCACGGGAACGCGGGACACCCCACGCAGGGATGGAGCTCCCGCACGGAGCCCACGGGAACAGCCCACGCTGGGGACACCTGGGGCGCTCAGACGCTGTCCCCAAGCTGGGGACACCCGGAGCGGGGCACCCCAAGCGCAACCCGAGGATGCTGCCCCTGAGCATCCAGCCCGGAAACCCGAGAAAACACCGGGAAAACATCGAGAAAACACCGGGAAAACACCGGGAAGGCTCCGGGACGGCGCCGGTTGAGCCCCGCGGGGCGGCCCCGGCGCGCTCCAGGCCCGGCGGCGGGGCCCGGCGGGCTCGGTACCTTTGTATCGCTCCAGCACGTCCTCGTAGGCCTGCACGAACTCCTTCTCCTGGCTGCGGTTGGCCGGGACCAGCCCCGGCACGTAGCCGGCCATGGCGGCCTTTGTGCCCGCGCTGGGCGCAGCTGCCGGCGGCGCGGCCAGGGCCCGTCTGTGCCGGGGCCGCTTCCGCCGCGCCCGGCCCGGCACCGGGACCCGCCCCGGGACCCGCCCCTCGGTACCGGGACCCGCCCCGGGACCCGCCCCGGGACCCGCCCATCGCCACCGGGACCCGCCCATCGGCACCGGGACCCGCCCCGGGACCCGCCCATCGCCACCGGGACCCGCCCATCGCCACCGGGACACGCCCCGTGACTCGCCCACCAGGGGGACACGCCCTTGGGTCGTGCCCACCGACAGGGACACGCCCCCAGACGCGCTCGTGTCTCCCGGGACCCCCCTCCCCACACCGGCCCGGTAACCGGGATGCGTGGATGGGGACACTGCCAAGGGTGGGGACACGCCCCTGGACGCACCCCAGAGTCCGGAATTATCATAACCGCGCCCAGGGCTACGCCCTTCTAAAGTATCCGCCCACTTGGCCGTGTTTGCTCCGCCCCTGAACAGGCCCCGCCCCCTGGTGCCCGCCCCCGGGCCCGTCCTGACCCCTGGCGGCCGCTCGGGCCCGCACCGGGAGGGGACAACGGGGGTGACATCGGGGATTATACTGGGGGTGACATCAGGGTGACACAGGGGTGACACCAGGGATTATACTGGGGGTGACACAGGGGTGACACCGGGGTGACACCGGGGATTATACTGGGGGTGACACAGGGGTGACACCGGGGGTGACATCGGGGTGACACTGGGGATTGTACTGGGGCTGATATCAAGGTGACATCGGGGTGAAACCGGGGATTACACTGGGGGTGACACCGGGGGTGACAACGGCTGTGATACCAGGAACGACACCAGGGGCGTGGTGACACTGTGTGTGACATCAGGGGGTGACACTGGGAGCCATACTGGAGGTGATACCAAGAACGACACCAGGGAGTGACACCGGGAGTGACATTGGGGACAACACAGGAGGGTGGCTGGCACAGACAGTGGCACCAGAGGGTGACACAGAGGGGTGGCAGCAGGGCTGACACCAGAGGTGACACCTTGCACTGCCTGGAGGGGCCGGGGAGGAGTGGGGACCGCTCAGCATCACCTGCCGAGGGATGGGCAGGGAAAAGGGGGCCCTGAGAATCAGCTGGAGGACTTTGGAGGGGATGGAAAGGCCCCACCAAGGGGAGCAGTGGGGCAGAGCCAAACCCCACCGGGTTTGGGAAATGGGGGTTCAGGGCCAAACCTGGCTGGCACTCCCATACCCACAGAAACCCCACTCAGGCCCCCAAATCCCAGCCAAGCTGATGGAGCAAAACCTCCCGTGGAAACAGGAGGGCACGAGGGTGGCTGTCCCCAGGCCAGGGGACACCCCAGTCCCCCCAGCCCCGCTGAGCCCACAGGACACCCCCTCGCCATGACCCAGCCCCCCCCAGTGGGGCAAATCCCGGCCCTTTTTTGGCCATCTCAAGATGTTGCTTTTTCACCCCGATGCGCCGTTCCCATGGCAACTGGAGGGCCTGGCTGGGTAACCATGGCAACGAGAAAAGCCCCATCCCGCTCAGACAGACACCCTGTGTGTCCCCACCGTCACCCAGGGACCCCCGAGCCCCCTCAGGGTGGGGGGGCTGCGCCCCTCATCCCTCCAGGGAATGAAGAAGGACCAGGGGCAGCACCTCCATCTTCCTCCTCCTCCTCCTCCTCCTCCTCCTCCTCCTCCTCCTCCCGCAGCTCCCGGCCTGGGGTGGGGTTACACAAATCACCCCCCTTATCCTGATTTTGGAGGCATCTCCCTTTCAGCTTGGCGCCTTAATTAGGAAAAGTAATTAACGTGGTGCCCGGCTGCATCCCCGGCAGAGCCTCCATGGATGGGGAGGACGGAAGGTTTCGATCGCCGCGACCTCGTGGCAGGGCCTTTGTGCCCGGCGGTGCCAGGCACGCATCCTCAGTGGAGCATCCCCCCGGGAACGGCCGGAGCATCCCCCGGGAACGGCCGGAGAATCCCCCGGGAACGGCCCCAGGGCCGCAGCTCTGCCCGCGGAGCCGCCCCCGGCACGGAGCCCTGCAGAGGTGCCACATCCCTCTGACCCAAAAACGCGTTCCCAGGGAAAGGGAAAGCTGTGCGGGCCAGCTGGCACTCAGCGATTCCTCCTCGGGCAGCGGGAGCGCTGCTCGGAACCGGCGCCGAGCTCCCAAGGCAGCGAGAACAAGGGGGTTTGTTCCCGTGTCCCCGGGGATGAAGCTCAGCTCCCTCCCTCAGCCAGCGCCGGCTCTGCCAGCGGCGCGGGTGACGCGCCCGGGTGACAAAGGACTCCCAGGAACCTTTTCAAAGAGCCCTTGGAAAGCCCCAGCGACGCCTCGTCCATCACCCCTGCCCGCTCACCCCTGGCATCCCGGAGTGCCCCGGCCCCTCCTGGCCCAGCAGCGCCCCAGCACGGCCCTGGCAGCACCAGATTTTGGATAAAAGAGCCCTTTTTTCCCCCAAAAGCAGCCACCCCCGCCCTCCCTCACCCTCTGCCAAGTGCCTGGAGGGAGACAGAGCAAGGCAGGGCCAAGGGTCACACTCTGACCCTCCACGTCCTGCTCCCCCCTCCCCTCCCACCACTGCCTTCCCAGGAGATGCCAGAAAAGCTCCAGAGCTGCCTGGAGACCTGGGCCAGCCCTCCCTGGGCTGTGTCCTCCTTTCCTTGGCTTTGAGGGCCAGAAGGGATGCAGAGACTGCTGGACCCCACAGATAGCAAGGAGGAAGAGCCCCCAAGATCTGTGTGTCCCCCCCAAAACCAGGATCCCTGTGTCCCTCAAACCCACAAAGGTGCCACTCCTTGTGTCATCTCTGCAAGGCCCATGGTGGCACAAGGATGGGCCCAGATGATGCCCAGGCTCCACCCCCAGGCCCTGGTGCCCCTTCCTGGGGATCCCAAAAAGCCAGGCCCCCATCACCCTGCCCTGAATGTGCCAGGTCCCCCAGGGCACATTCCTCAGGCCACCATCCCTGGTCCCAGGCCTGATCCCAGTGGGATCAGAAGAGGCACCGGGGCAGCCAGCACCCTGCAGACATTCCCACTGAATAATGCAAGGATCTGAATCAATATTTCAGCTCATTTTCAAACTTGGTGACACAAAACTGTCTCCGAACTCTTCTTTTTTTTCCCCAGCTCAGCACTGTCTCGCTGCACCTCCCGAGTTATTTTTAATGGGCAATCTGCATGAGACCGAATTTTGTGACATCCCCCTGCCTTTCATCACAGGCTGGATCCAGCTGGGTGATGACAAACACTCGGCATCCCGGGCAGAAATGTTGCTGGGGAATGGCTGGGCCTGGGCAGAATCCATCCCTGGGGTGTGGGAGGATGGAGATTTTGGGGCAGAGCAGGTCCATGAGAAGCAGTGAACACAGCAGGATCCTGGTACCCCTCCATCTCCCAGCCCCAGGGATTTGGGATTTGGGATTTGGGGCAGGCCCAGCCACACCCTGCACATTTGCCTGTCCCAGCCCCAGACAGTGCATTCTCAAGAGCCATCATTTGAATCAACTGGTTCTTCCAGCCCCAGGATTCCCAGGCTGGCACGGCGGCACAGCCGGATCCCCACGCACCCCACGCCATGGGGCAGGCAGGGTGAGAGACAGGGAGCAGCACCTCACAGCCACCCCTGAGCTGCTGGCACCTGCCCCTGTGCCAGGTGTGTCCCTCCTCCCCAGCACTCCCAGTCTGTGTCCCCACAGGATGGGGCTGGTTTGGTCACCAACTGGGGGCTGGCAGGGCAGAGCAGGCACCTCAGGGCTTTGTCACCCTTGTGCCCACTCCCAGCAGAGAGATTAAAACCCAAACCCGGGTTTCTCCTGGAGCAACAGCCAGGAACAGCCTGGCCAGGGCTCAGCAGGGGTCCCTCAGCACGGCCCTGATTCCCAAATCCCCGTTTGCTCCAGCAGGGGCAGATCAAAGGCGCCCGGAGCGCCGGGAGATGCGGACAGAGCCCGGCAGACAGAGATCAAAGCCCCTGATGGCCGTTTGGCCCCAGTGAAGAATGAAACCCCAGCTCTGGTGCCTGGAGCCACCACCCCGAGCAGATTCCCCCGTGGAGCAGGGTCCCCACCGCCCCCAGGAGCCCTCGGCCAAGGTGGGTCCAGCCCTGCCTTTGTTTCTGCCTCCCAGCCCCGCTCCTTCCCCGGAGCTGCGACCGGGTCAGCAGCACAGCCGGCAAAGGGACACACGGGGCACTGTCCCCTCCACACGGGGACACCAGCGTGTCCCAGTGACCACCGCGGTGGAGCTGCTGATGGGCACCACAAAGGAGCAGCCCCGGCTCCATCAGCCGGGCGGGAATCCCAAACCTCCCCGGGCAAATTCCTCCCCGGAGTTCAGCCGAGGGCATTGTTCCACCAAGGAGCCATTCAGTCCTTAATTAAGCATTTTAATGTCACCCAAGCCGCAGTTGGAGGTGCCCAGTCATCCCTTAACCCCAGTGCCGAGGGGATGAACCACCCGGGGCCCGCCTGGAGAGGACAAAGCCATGGCAGAGACAAACCACCACCCTGCTCCTCGGCCACCAGAGCCACCTCCATCCCTCCCCTCCTCTCCCCATCCACCCCCAGGCTCCCTGAGGAGCAGCGGGGCACAGAGGTGACCCCAAGATCATCTCAGTCACGGCGGGGGGAGCCCCGGGAACCCCCGGGGGGAACCAACAAGGCGCTGCCTTACCTGCGACCCTGACGACAGCCCTCTCGGCCGGGTCCAGCACCGAATCCTGACTCTTCCTCTTCCTCTGCTCATGGAGGGGTAAATTCCAGGGCAAGGTGTCCCCGGGGGGGCAGGGGGAGAGGCTGCCCGAGCGCTCGCTGCGGTAGGAGCGCTCGCTCCGGCACGACCGCTCGCTCCGGCAGGAGCGCTCGCTGAGGGTCTCCTCGTCGGAGGACGACATGGCCCAGGGCACGGCCAGGAGGGCGGGCAGGACGTCCCCGCGGGCAGCAGCACCCTGGAGAAGGAGCAAACAGCGTGTGACACCGGGCCACGGGTGCTGGGGGTGATGGAGAAGGGATCGTCCACCATGGGTGTC